TGTGGAGGTTTTTCAGTTCAGAGGGGAAGGGGAAGAATGGGAGGCAGAAGGTACAGGAAAGAAGAAGCATAATTGGTAGGCATAAAATACATGGGGGAGGTTAAGAATGGTATAGGAAACAGAGAAGTCAAAGAACTTATATGTAAAACCCATGGACATGAACTAAGGGCAAGGAAGGCTGGAGGGTTGGGGGATGCAGGGTGAAAGGGGGATAAAGGGGGGAAAATTGGGTAAACTGTAATTACACAATCAATAAAATATATATTTTTTAAAAACCTAGATAATAAATTCTGGTTTTTCAGAATCCTGGTTTTCACTAAGGGTGGATGTACATAAACTCCCTTGAATATTGTGAGGTGGCACACAGATATAAAGGAAATCTTAAAACTAAGAAATTCTTTTTTTTTGTATTTTTGTATTTTTATTTTTTTATTGTTGTTCAAGTACAGTTGTCTCCATTTTCACCCCACCACACTCCTCCACCCCACACATCTCCACCTCCCACCCTTCAACCTACCCCCTTTGGCTTTGTCCATGTGTCCTTCATACATGTTTCTTGATAACCCTTCCCCTATTATCCCCCCATTACCCCTCTCCCCCCTTCTCTCTGGTTACTGTCAGTTTGTTCTTTATTTCAATGTCTCTGGTTCTATTTTGCTTGCTTGTTTATTTTGTTGATTAGATTCCACTCATAGGTGACATCATATGGTATTTGTCTGTCACCATTTCGCTTATTTCACTTAGTACAATGCTCTCCAGTTCCATCCATGCTGTTTTGAAGGGTAGGAGCTCCTTTTTTCTTTCCTTATTTTTAAAGATTTTATTTACTTATTTTTACACAGAGGGGCTAGGAGGGAGTAAGAGAGGAAGAGAAACATCAACGTGTGCTTTCCTCTCACAAACCCCCTACTGAGGACCACTCCCACAACCCAGGCATATGCCTTGACTAGGAGATGAACCAGTGACTGGTTCACAGAGCAGCACTTAGTCCACTCAGACACATCAGCCAGGGTAGAGTTTCTTCTTTCTTTCTGCTGTGTAGTATCCCATTGTGTAAATGTACCACCATTTTTGATCCACTCATTTACTGATGGGCACTTGGGATTTTTCAAACGCTCGACTATTGTAAATTGTGCTGCTATGAACATTGGGGTGCATAGGTTCTTTTGAATTGGTGATTTAGGATTCTTAGGGTATAATCCCAACTGTGGAATCACTGGGACAAAAGGCAGTTCCATTTTTAGTTTCTGAGGAAATTCCATACTGTTTTCCACAGTGGCTGCACCAGTCTGCATTTCCACCAAAAATGCACTAGAGTGAGTTCCCCTTTCTCCACAACCTCACCAGCACTTACTGTTTGTTGATTTGTTTATGATGGCCATTGTGACTGGTGTGAAGTGGTATGTCACTGTGGTTTAAATTTTCATCTCTCTGATGGCTAGTGATCCTGAGCATCTTTTCCTATGTCTCTGAGCCCTCTCTATGTCCTCCTTAGAGAAGTATCTGTTCAAGTTCTTTGCCCATTTTTAATTGGATTGTTTGTCTTCCTGGAGTGGAGTCATGTTGGTTGTTTATATATTTTGGAGATAAAACCACTGTCCAAGGTATCATCTGCAAATATATTTTCTCAAACAGTTGGTTCCCTTTTCATTTTGCTGATGTTTTCTTTCCCTATACAGAAGCCTTTTTATTTTGAAGTCCCATTTCTTTATTCTTTCCCTTTTATCCCTTACTCTAGGGAACATATCAGTGAAAATATTGCTGTGTGGAATATCTGAAATTTTCCTGCCTATGTTCTCTAGGTGTTGTGTCACAACTTATACTTAAGTCTTTTATACACATTGAATTTATTTTTGTGTCTGGTGTAAGTTGGTAATTGAGTTTCATTTTTTGCATGTAGCTGTCCAGCTCTCCCCAAACCATTTGTTGAAGAGGCTATTTTTACTCCATTTTATGCTTCTGCCAGCTTTATCAAATATTAATTGACCATAGAGACTTGGGTTTATTTTGGGGCTCTCTGTTCTAATCCATTGATCCACGTGTCTGTTATTATGCCACTACCAGGCTGTTTCGATTACAGTGGCCTGTAATATCATTTGGTATCCAGTATTGTTATACTTCCTGCTTTGTTCTTCTTCAAAATTCCTGGGGCTATTCAGAGTTGTTTATGGTTCCATAAAAATTTTTGTTTGTTCTATGTCTGTGAGATATGTCATTGGCATTTTAATAGGGACTGCATTGAATTTACAAATTGCTTTGTGTAGTATGGACATTTTGATGATGTCAGTTCTTCCAATCCATGAACACAGTGCATGCTTCCATTTATTTGTGTCTTCCTTAATTTCTTTCTTCAGTGTTGTGTAGTTTTCTGCATACAGGTCTTTTACCTCCTTGGTTAGCTTTATTCCTGGGTATTTTATTTTTCTTGTTGCTATAGCAAATGAGATTCCCCCCCTGATTTCTGTTTCTGATATTTTGTTGTTGGTATACAAAAATGCCTTTGAATTCTGAATATTGACTTTGTAACCTGCTCTGCCAAATTCACATACTAAGTCAAGTAGTTTTTTGGTAGTCTAAGGGTTTCTATGTACAGGATCATGTCATCTGCAAACAATGACAGTTCAACTTCCTCCTTTCCCATTTGCATGCCTTTTATTTTTTTCTTCTCTGATTGCTGTGGCTATGACTTCCAATACTATGTTGAATAGGAGTGGTGAAAGTGGGTGTCCTTGTCTTGTTTCTGACCTTAATGGGAAAGCTTTTAGTTTTTGCCCATTGAGATGATGTAGGCTGTAAGTTTCTCATATATGGCCTTTATCATGTTGAGGAATGTTCCATTTCCACTTTTCTGGGTGTTTTTTTTTTATCATAAATGTGTGTTGTACCTTCTCAAATGCTTTTTCTGCATCTATTGGTATGATCATGTGATTTTTGTCTTTCCTTTTGTTCTTGTGATGTATTATGTTTATTGATTTGCTAATATTGTACCTTCCTTGCATCCCTGGGATGAAGTGGCCTTGATCATGTTGTATAATCATTTAAATATATTGCTGGATGCAGTTTGCCAATATTTTGTTGAGAATTGTAGCGTCTATGTTCATCAGCCATATTGACCTGTAATTTTCTTTCTTCGTTGTGTCTTTGTCTGGTTTTAGAATTAGGATAATGCTGGCCTCATAAAAAGACTTTGGGAGCCTTCCATCTTTTTGGATATTTTTGGAATAGTTTGAGAAGGATAGGGATTAGCACTTCCTTACATATTTTATAAAATTCTCCCTTGATACCATCCAGTCCAGGGCTTTAGAGTGCTGGGAGTTTTTTTTGATTGCTGCTTCAATTCCACTAGCTATTACTGGTCTGTTCAAGGTTTCTGCTTCTTCTTGATTCAGTTTTGGAAATATGTTTGTAGAAATTTGTTTATTTCGTCTAGCTTGTCCAATTTCTCAGCATATAGTTTTTGTAGTAATTTCTTACAATCCTTTGTATTTCTGTGGTATCAGTTGTAATTGCTCTGCTTTCAGTTCTAATTTTGTTAATTTGGGTCCTCTTTTCCTTTTCCTTGATAAGCTTGGTTAATGGCTTGTTGATTTTATTTATCTTTTAAAAAAATAGCTCCTGGATTTATTGATCCTTTGAATTGTTCTTGTAGTCTATATATCATTTAATTGTGTTCTGGTCTTGGTTATTTCCTTCATTCTACTCACTCTTAACTTTGTTGTTGTTCCTCAACTCCTTGTAGGCATAGGAGTAGGTTGTTTATTTGAAATGTTTCTGTCTTGGCCTGAATCACTATGAACTTCTGTCTCAGGACTGCCTTCTCTGTGTCCCATAAGCTTTGGACTGTTGTGTGTTTATTTTCATTTGTTTTCAGAAACTTTTAAATTTCTTCCTTGATCTCATTATTAGCACATTCATTGTTTAATAGCATGACATTCAATATCCATGAGTTTGAGTGTTTTTGAGTTTTTTCCTTGAGGTTGTTTTCTAGTTTCAGGCCCTTGTGGTCTGAGAAGGTACTTGACATGATTTCAGTTTTCTTGAATTTGTGAGGCTTGTTTTGTGACCTATCATGTGGTCTATGTTTGAAAATTTTCCATGTGCATTTGAAAAGAATGTGTATTTTGCTTCTTTGGGATGAAGGGCTCTCTCTATATATCAGTTATGTCCATTTCATCTAGGGCATTGTTCAATGCCACAAAATCATTGTTGATTCTTTATTTGAAAAATCTGTCCATTGATGACAATGGGTGTTAAAATCCCTACTATAAATGTGTTTGTGTCTATACCTTTCTTGAAGTCCTCCAAGGTTTTCCTTATATATTGGGTCCTCCTATGTTGGGTGCATATATGTAAAACTAAGAAATTCTCAAATCCACTTTTAGAATAAATAAACTTTGCAAAGCATTAATTTAGAAAGAAGGAAAGCAGCAAAATTTCAGTCTAAATATTCAAATGAGAATATAAAATATGATTCAGGTTTGGGTTACAAGAAGACAAATATTAAGATAAACCTTTGAAAATAATAATATATCATTCATCGATATTTTCCAAATATTTGTGCCAGTGTATATAGTACAAATACATATATGCACCTTAGCACAAATCTATTTATGTTTACATGTATAAATTGGCACCTCATACTTTTAACACTCAGGAAAATTTTAAAAACTTAATGTACACAATAAATTTTCACCTATGATAATTGTTTCATGTAGATAAGACAAATATGACTGTTCCTAATTAACAGATGAAGGAACTCAGGCAAGGAGAGATCCAAGGATAAGAATTAGTTTACATTTGCAAGTAGCTACATGAGGGGCACGAGGGTCTCTGACTCAGTGAGTGGAATTTAATAGTAATCCTTGCTACAAGTATAATTTCAATGTGTGAGAGCTTTGAGAGATGAAAATATTTGAAAAGTGGCCTGTTTTCTTCTTTTTTCTTCATGTTTCTTGTTTTACCTGCTACTCTCAGGCATTACTTTGTCTTTCTGTTTTCAGATCAACTTGATGAATCCTGTTATAAAATCCTGAAAAGGGAGTTCTCAGTGGATCTGATGTAGTGGATGCTGTCCCAGGAAGTTTGTGCATGCATGGCACAATCTTCCAAGAACACCCGTGGGAGGTCATGCCTGATCTCTACTTTTACAGAGATCCTAAAGAGATTGAAAAGGAAGAGAAGGCTGTTACCAAAGAGAAATTTGAGCTCCTGAGTTTACTGCTGCGAAAACTAAGGTCACAGGCAGGTATGAAGGCATGTATGTGATATCAATATCTGTGTACCAGTTTCCTACAGAAGACTGGAGCACTCAGCCTGCCACTGAAGACTGACCTGCAGCCCCTACATCTCAGGCCACTGAATGGGTAAGAACAACCACTGATCTTCAGTCTTAAGCTCTTCATCAAAAAACTTCTAAACAAAATGAAAATAATTTTGAAAGAAAATAAACAATTTCTTTTAAAAGAATGAGTTCACATAACTACTTAGTGACAGAATAAGTGCAATGTCAGGTTTTCTGACCTGTGTTGTGATATTATTATTAATGCTCTGTACCCTGCAATAACTTAAGCACACTTACTATCAATGGAGCCAGGTAATGCCTACTGCTGCTATTTCCAAGTGAAAAAGTATATGAATATACAATGGGGGACCCCCCAAAACTGGAATTGTCTTCTGGAGGGCAGGCTCTTTGTAGTACAGTCTTCCCCCACTAGGTGAGTGTTCTAGGAACCCATCTGCATCAGTGTACCAGCTGGTGTTATTGTGAGAGGCTGCATTTGACTTCAATGAATATTTTTGAAAACCCTTTTAACACATTTGTCCATTTCTTGATGGGTGATTTATGAGTTCACCTGCCCTCACCATGCTGAGTGTTCAGCACTTTTTGACCAAAACTAACATGACCCCTGTGTTCCACCCTCCCTATTCACTCGATCTCACCCTGACTGAGTATTTTTTGTTTCCTCAGATGAAAAAAGTCCTCAAATGGAAACACTTTGCTGATGTGGAAGAGGTAAAATAAAAATGGCAGAAGCACCTGAAGGCATCAAAATCAATTAGTTCAAAAACAGTTTCAAGCAATGATTAAAAACATCTTGATAGGTGTATAGCATCAAATGGAGAGTACTTTGAAGGTGAGTGAAGTTTAAACATGTAAGAATAAATACACAATTTTTATAAATAAATTCCAGTTTGGGGGTCTCCCCTAATATATACATACATATACATATATATATGTATATGTATATCAGTATGTATGTATATATTTTGCAAGGAAAACCAATGCACACTCACAGAAACCACAGTTTTATGAAACAGTATTTAACTTTTCTAAAAGCCATGCATTGTGAAAAGTTCTATTCTATTCTATTCTATTCTATTCTATTATTTAGTTTAAAAGAAGCCCTGGGCACAACTCCATCAATTGATTTTATGACTGTTAATTTGTGTGAACAGGAGTTTGCTACCATTGATCTAATGTCAACAAAAATCCCAATCTCAGGCATAGAAAGAGGGAAAACTTTATTCAAGAGAATAGTTTACAAACTGGGAGAAGGCAACCTGGTAGAAACTGAAAGTGTGCTCCACTGAGGCAAAGGGGAGGTGAACTTTTGAAGAGGAAATTTCCTCCCTGGTTCCTAATTGGTTCATTTTTATGCAAATGAGGAATCCAAATTTGTACAGTCTAGTTGGTTCAAACAGCACTGTCCTGATTGGTCCAATTTGCACATTCTGATTGCTTGTTATGGAGTTGCTGTGATTGGTCAGTACTTATATAAGTGAGGGTATAATAGTGCAGTTCCAATTGTACTGGGCAGGTCTCAGTCCATTGGTCAAAAGACAATACCAGTAATTCCTTAATGGTTGATTCAGACAGCAGGAGCACAGTAGAGAAGGCTGGCAGCTCATTCTGTACCTTTTTCCTGAAATGTAGCATGTGTTGGAGTCCTCTGTCAGCAATGTCTGCTAGACCGTAGTTATGAATTTCTGCTCGGTTAACTATGAGGAGTCCTTCTTGGAAGATGTATTCCTTCTCAAGGTCCACATTCCCCTTTTTGATAAAAACCTGTCATGGACAGAGTTGATCAATCAGGTCAGTTTTTCTCACATTGGTGCTAGAGTGGTTGGGCTAACTGCTCTGGGTCCACCTAGTTCCTTCATGGGACTCCTGTGATTGAGCAGTGGCCAGTAGAGCAATAAAGCCATTTGATTACAGGATACCTTTCAGGTACATGACAAATTCAAGGAAATTTTACAGTTTTATGTAAAATGGCTTAAGTCAATTTTTGAAAGGTTTTTGAAAGTATACACAATAAATTGGGACTAACCTGCAAAAGGTATTTAGCATCACAAGTAAATATTTTAACTATTGTGGATGAAAAAAATGGAAAAGATGTGGTGACTTGATTGATCATTTCTATCCTTCATACAAACTTTTCTAGGTTTTACAGGAGGCTCAGACACTTGGTTATACAAAATACCAGTAGGTTGACAATGAAGGTTATTAAACAAATTAGTACAAGGAGTTGGACAATTTGCAACCCAGATATTAAAATAGCCCCGAGACAAGTTGAGAGTCAGCTGAGAATATCAGAAAATTTAAACCCTAACCAGCCAGCAGTGCTAAAGACAAAACTGGAATACCCATCAAGGGATCTTGCAAATTTAAGGAGATTGTTTCTAATTCTACCTGGGAAGAAGTATTTATCAGTAGGAAGTATTAGCTATGGCACAAATTACACCTTGGGTTTCAAGAAAATAATCAAGCATAATTTTACTGTCAAGGATCACCCTGGCTAAAGAATCTAAAGCTGTTTGCTGCACTTAATGGCTCTAGATGTTGAGTTAGCAATTTGGTAGAGAGTTTTGGTTAGATTTCACATGATTACATCTAATTAAGTGGTGGCAAAGCCAGCCTGTGACCCTATAATTCCAAGTAAGAAGTGGAGCCTATTTTAATCTTAAAATTAGAATCAATCAAGATTCAGCTACATCTAATAATGGTTAAAAGTAATGTGACTGTAGGAAATCAGGAGCTATAACTAAAACCATTGTCTTACATGATTCTGTTGGTGATGTTTAAAGTTATACAACAGGATTTATCTGTGACACATATAAATTAGTATTGAAATTTAGAAAAAGCAGCATTTATTTACATATACAGAAGTACCAGAATTATATCAGATTTACAGAGAGATATAATAATCTGTTTACCATGCAACTACCTATTTGTGACATTTGTAATTGTTAATGAAACAAATTCCTTATGAACATAGTATTAATGTATACCAAATTACAACAATTAATTGACTCAAATATTTAAGGTGAAGACCCAATATCCTCAAATTTCTAAGCATTTATCACATTATCAGTATAGTTTCACCTAGATTTTATCCCATTAGAAAAGAAATGTTAAATACTTTTTCAAAAGATCATTATGCTTTCAGATGTTAAATGGCACAATTCAATTTCTTTACCAATTTACCTATTTTTGTGAATCTGATATTTTTATGTTTAGGCTAAGGTAGGTGCTCTGAAGGATCCAATGAATCGAACTTCTAGGTTGCAGAATAATGTGGGTATTGTATAATGAACCTCTCCTGGAAAGCCATGTCTCTGGATCAATGATTGAGAAGTTAAGACCAGCTGCCAATGTAGTCAGACTGTTCTATAATTATCACATAACAGTTTGACATTCTATATTAAATTCCTTAGTGAGTAGAACCAGGCCTCACTATTTTCATATATCCTCTATTGCACATACTAAAGGAGAACAAACTTCTTGGGTCTTCTTATTACTTTCTCTTAGTCACTGAAACATAGGCATTAATACAATTTTAATGGATAATATCAGGGGATAATATTTGTAAATAAAGGGTTTTTCTTTCTACCCGAAGAAACTGCCAATCTATCACATGACATGCTTTAATTCCAATAATACAATTTACAGAATCATTCATTTATAAATTATGTTAAATATTGCCCATATAATAGTTGTTATAAAATGTTAGGCTTAGTCTTTTTGACATCACTTAAAAAGCATTCTAAGTTTTAAACATTGACATGAGATCAAAACAAGGAACTCACAAAGGAAGTAATCTTCAAAATACTGAACTCCACATAATTAGGTCTGAGAGTGAAGTAAGATAAGTTACAGCATTAAGCTGTAAGACTAATTACTGTTGAGATATTACTCCTGTTTATATTTGAACTTTTCCCTTTTTAGTTTAAGGTATAGGAAAAAGAACAATACACATTCTAAAATATTGATGAAAATCATATACAATAGTTTTTCTTAATCATCAAGTTTACCTTACCGTGTTGTTCTAAAGCACTTCCATTGAAATACAGGTCCTTTCCACTTGAATAACTGACCAAATATAAACATAGGGGTTAAAATCCTTCTAGCAAGATAGAAAGAATGAATCAAATTTAAAATTATATACTTTTCCTTAAAAATTAGCAGCACTTCATTTTATCAGGACATACAAATTTGGCTTCATTGGTCAGAAACAAGGAAAAAGTCATATAGGTCCAAAGTAGCACCTGTACAGAGGAAATATGAAGCTATAGTACTTCCTGAATAGCTAACTATTTTCCCCTTAGGTGGTTTATGAAATAACTGGGATGTCAACTTTGATGGTGAAGAAGGAGTGTGCTGAGTAAGGCTGTTTTCTGCTATAGTGGCTTTACATTAGGGTTTTGTAAAATCTACAGTAAAGTTAGGGATAGTTGAAAATTTGCTAACAAGAATAACTATGGGATCATCAGTTTTACCAGACATAGAGGCAGGCATCAGATGCCAATCCATCATTCAAGCAGGTTCCCTGAGGAAGGTGAGATTGAGAGTACTGTGTCATATTTCTATGTCAAGGTTTCCTACATGCAGGAATTAAAACAAAAAAAATAAGAAAGTACTATTTAGTCAAGGGTTAATGACCAATATATACAATGTAAAACACAGGAAAGGTGATCAGCTTGTTCCAAGAGAAGTAAGATCACTAATATATACCCAGGAATATAATCATTGTGACAATTATGAGAGAAACATAAGGATTATGCATAGGAGTTGGCTTTACTGGCATGGTCTTAGATCTTGGGAAAGGCTTTTTATCTGAGCAATTATCTGCTCTAGATAAATTTAATTTTAGGTCTCCTATATATTGGGGTGTCCAGTCAGGTCAATGAGGTACAATTATAGGAGCAATTTTAAACGAGAACATGAATTAATGAGTGTGGGGGTAACATTGCCTGCAAAGTGCCCCCCATCCACCACAGATGAAAGTAACACTACCAAGACATGATCTGCTTGGGGAGGAGAGGTGGCTGATCCCTCCAAGGGGAAGGGCCAAGAGCCCCTTCCTCAATGGGCTTTTATTGGGTTCATTTGCACAAGAATACAGGTAAGGATCAAACAATAGATAGCATTCAAAGAACTATGAGGGCTTATTCTCAGTCAGGGTCAGATAGCTAATGAGCCATAAAACTTAGGGGACTCGGCTATGTCACAATAGCTGGGGGGCGAGAGTCCATCGCTCCCTCTTTGTTGAAGCCCCCCACCCCCCCACCGAGTCCTTCCTTGAGGGCCTCCCAAGTGACGGTGTCTGGCTTAGGTTGCCCCTACTCTGAGGGGTCGTACCTGCCACATCTGGGTTTAAATCCCCTTGTACCAGTCCTCCTTTGCAACCCCATTTCTGACTCCTCCCACAGTTGGTTACACCTGCCAGGACTCCCGTATTATTGCAAGTTTACTGGCCTGCCATAGTGAGTCTGGGCAAGTGTGGCCCCATGGTGTGGAGCCAATCAACTCCAAGCTCCCTCACAGGTGCTGTAACTCAGGGGACCTGCCCCTAGTTACATGTCTTGGGTGGAAGTCAACTTCCTTCTCCCTGGCTCAAAACTTGGTCACAGCTATTCAACATATCTATGATACCAGTTAAAGGTTATAGATATGTTAAATGACCATTCCAGAGGTTAGCTGCAAAACTGTTGCTATGCAAAACAACTCTCAGTGGCCCTACTCCATTTGTCCCTTCCCCCAACTGACACCTGGGTGGTGGTGGTGAGGACATCTTAATATTTTCTGGACACCTTGAGCTCTGGACCCCATCCCAAATTCTTTTTTGGGGCCCCCTCCTGGCTGTGCCCTGTTACAATACCTGAAGATACAGGGCACAGGAAATACTCTTAATAAAACATAAAATGTTTACTTTCCCTTCATAATTTTTCTTTTATTAAGAGTGGACTAATACTATTGGTAAACTTGGTCCTTTTAATAGAGTGACAAAATCAGCCCTGGCTGGTGTGGCTCAGTGGATTGAGTGATGGCCTGTGAACCAAAGAGTTGCTAGCTGGATTCCCAGTCAGGGCACATGCCTGGGTTGTGGGCCAGGTCCCCAGTAGGGGGTGTGTGAGAGGCACCCACACATTGATGTTTCTCTTCCTTTCTTTCTCTGTCCCTTCTCCTCTCTCTAAAAATAAGTAAATAAATCTTTAAAAAATAAAGTATGCATACTACTAAAAAAGAAAGAAAGTCAAATTCTAATTTTGTATCAGTGTGCTGCCTTTGATGTTAAGAGAAATTACTAACTTAAATCTGTTCCAATCTTAGTTCACTTACCATATATTTCTTTTTTAAAATTCCTTTTCCATTAACCATAGATTTTATTTAATATTATCTATAGATTTAGATTATCTATAGATTTAATATTATCTATAGATTTTATTTAATATTATATATAAATCTATAGATTATAGATTTAGAGAAGACTTATTTTGTCAAACATTATATTCTGTAAAAAACAGACTAGAAAAATTTAAAAAGTTTCAATAGCTTATCAAAATTATTTTCACAAACTATGAGTTGGATATGTAAATTCAGTAACAGGTATATTCAGATATGTAAGCAGCATTCATTGTTATTCAAATTTAACCAAAACACTAGAAATACTCTAATCAAAACACCAAATAAACATAATTTCACAAATGATCTCAAAGATCAATGATTTGAATCAAATAACACAAAAGAGAAAATTTTTAAAAGAGTTAATATTCATATTTTCAAAACATACTATAACAGGAGAAAAAGTGTTTTGTAGTCATTCAGTTTGTACAAATCTCTATATAGAAAACAAATATCTATCTATCCATATAAAAGTGAAATTTAAAAACTACCTAAATGGAGGGAATATACTATTTTCATAGATAAAAAGGTAAATATTAAATCCCAAATAAAATCCAAGAATTCTTGTTATGAAAAAATTTTATGTCATTCTAAGTGCATATGAAAGGCTAATAATGGTCAAGATAGTAAGTAAGAACAAAGATGGGGAATTTATCAAGACATAAAACTAAAATATGTAAGACTATGTAGTACTGGTTCAAGGACAGGCAGACAGTTGCAACAAAATAGACAACACAGAAACAGATTCAAACATATATAGACACTTAATATGTGACAAAATGGGCACTGCACACAAATGATGATGAGGCAGTGGTTTTATTAAGTGGGGCAGGGTAAACTGAATATAGAAATGAATGAAAATTGAATTTTGTTGCAGACTACCTCATGGCATAGGCAAAAATTAATTCTAGCTAGACTGTGGATAAAAAATGTGAAAAGAAAAACAAGTTTCTGGAAAGTATTGATACAGTAGATAACTTCATAGTCTTGGGGCATACAGCAGCATTTGTTTAAAGACAAAAGGCACAAACCTTTTGCCCATTTTTTCATTGGAGTGTTTGTCTTCCTGGAGTGGAGTTATGAGAGTTCTTTATATATTTTGGATATCAAACCCTTGAACAAAATATCATTGTCAAATATGTTTTTCCATGGAGTTGGTTCTCTTTTCATTTTCATTTCAATGCTGTTTTCTTTAGCTGCACAGAAGCTTTTTATTTTGATGAGATCCCATTTATTTACTCTTTCCTGTATGTCCCTTGCTTTAGAGGACATATCAGTGAAGATATTGCTGCTTGGAATATCTGAGATTTTCCTGCCTATGTTCTCCTCTAGGATTTGTATGGTGTCACATCTTATATTTAAGTCTTTTATCCACCTTGAGTTTATTTTTATGTGTGGTGCAAGTTGGTGATCAAGTTTTATTTTGTTTTGCTTGTAGCTGTCCAGGCGTCCCAACACCATTTGTTGAAGAGGCTATTTTTACTCCATTTTATGCTTCTTCCCCCTTTGTGAAATATTAATTGACCATTGAGACGGGTTTTTTTCTGGGCTCTCTGTTCTGATCCATTGGTCTATGTGTCTGTTCTTATGCCAGTACCCGGCTGTTTTTATTACAGTGGCCTTGTAGTATAGTTTGATATCAGGTATTATGATGCCTCCTACTTTGTTTTTCTTCCTCAAAATTGCTGCAGCTATTCGGGGTCATTTATGTTTCCATATAAATTTTGTTCTATATCAATAAATATGTTTGTTCTATATCTGTGAAAACAGACACTTTTCCAAAGAAGATATACAGAGGGCCCAGAGACATATGAAAAGATACTCAATATTGCTAGGTGTCAAAGAGATGCAAATTTAAACCACAATGAGATACCACTTTATACCACTGAGAATGGCCATCAAATACAAATCAATGAACGAATGTTGGAAAGGATGTGGAGAAAAGGGAACCCTAGTGCACTGTTGCTAGGATTACAGACTGGTGCAACCACTGTGGAGAACAGTATGGAATTCCATCAGAAAAGTAAAAATGGAACTGCCTTTGACCTGGCAATTCCACTGCTGGGATTATATCCCAAGAATCCTGAAACAACAATCCAAAAGAACTGATGCACCCGAATGTTCATAGCAGCACAACTTACAATAGCCAAGTACTGGAAGCAACCTAAGTGCCCATCAGGAAATGAACAATAAAAAATCTATGGTACATTTACACAATGGAATACTATACAGCAGAGAGAAAGAAGGAGCTCCTACCCTTCATGATAACATGGATGGAACTGGAGGGCAGTATGCTGAGTGAAATAAGCCAGGCGGTGAGGGACAAATAAATACTATATGATCTCACCTGTAACTGGAACCTAATCAATAAAAGAAAAAAGGAAGTAAAATATAACCAGAGACATTGAAATTAAGAATGATCTGATAGTCACCAGATGAGAGGTGGGAGGGGATAATGGGAGAAAGGGGAGAAGGGTTTTCAGGAACAACTATAAAGGACACATGGACAAAACCAAGGGGGAGTGGTGAAAGCAAGGGAAAGAGGTGGGTTTGGCTGGGGTTGGGGTGGGGAGTGGTGGGGGGTAAACGTAGACACCTGTAATTGAACGACAATAAAATAATTAAAAACTAAAAATAAATAAAGACAAAAGACACGAACAAAAAACCATATAAAACTAGACTATATAAAAATTAAAACTTCTGTTCATCGAAAAGTCACTATTTACAAGAGGGAAAGGAGTAGGATAATATATTGTCCATATATCTAACCAATAAGTGCTTTTATCCTAAATATATAAAGAACTCCTAAAAATCAGTAAGAAGGAAAGACAAAACTCTTACTTACTTAACTAAGCACAAGATTAGAATAGGAACTTCCAAAGAAGATACCCAAATGTCCAATAAACATGAAAAGATTTTCATCTCATTAGTCATCCAAGAAATGTGAATTTAAAACCATAATAAAGTATACTAGACAAGCAATCAAAATGGTTAAAATCTTTTTAAAAAGATGTAAATGTCCATAGTTGGCAAAGACATGGAGCAATTGAAAGTCTTGCACATTTTATTTATAACTGACAGTAACTAGTGAATTCAAAACACATAGTATTGTGATTCTACCATTCTACTCCTAGGTGTCTAATCAACAGAAATCTAAATGCAAGTGCACTGTAATATATACACAAGATTAGTATTATTTAACAATCCAAATACCCACCTACTTTTGAGTGCCTATCATGTGATCCCATATAGAAATTCACATGAATGAACTGCTACACTGAATAACATGAATGGATCTCAAAGACATAATGTTGAGCAAATGAAACCAGGCAAAAAAAAAATTACTATGTAATTCAAGTTATATAAATTTATAAAATAAGCTAAACTAATCTATAATATTAGAAATCAGGATAATGATTACCATTGAGGAAATGTGGAGATTGTAAAAAGCAAAGTATAATGGGGTACTGAGCCAGAAGTCTCCTAAAATGGAGAAAACCCCCACAGCTATTGCTTGGGGGATGAGGGAAGCTGAACAGGGCCATAGGAAGCCACTTTGTATATCTGAAGAACTTGGCCAGTGTTTTGATAATGTTAAAAAGCTGTGCCTATGCTCAGAGCCAGGGAGATGGGCCTGACTCTAACCCATGATTCGATGTAGTTGGAGGGGCTTCCAGGGTCTGTGAGAGTAGCTTAGAGGCTTCTGCATCACAGGGCCACTTTTACCCAGACTAACAATGGCAGCCAAGAAAGGCAAAAGAAACCAGACTACTGGCAGGTGTAACCTAGTGTGGGAGAAGTTGGAAATGGGGTTACAGAGAAAGATCCATGTGGGGATTTAAACCCAGGCACCTGGCAGCCAAGCTGGGGCTTATGCACATGGTTTTGGGGGGTGGAGACGGGGCTGTCTTAACCATGCGGCTTAGAACGCATGAAAGCAAGATGTTAACAACCATGCTTAGTGCTCTCTCTCTTGGCCAGGTGGTTTGAAATGATGCAGAAAGATCCCCGACCTGCCATGAGGATACGTTTTTGGATTAAGAACTGAAGCCTACCCAAGCTACAGACGTCTATTTTCTTTTGCTGAGATATGGTACCCCTAAGGAGCCTCGTTTGGCAAGGGGAGGCAGGACTGTGTGTGTGTTTGTGGGTGTTTTAAAGGGACTTTGGGATTTAACGGCAACATTCTGCCATTAATCTAAACCTGTATAACTTTAGACTAAACAGTTCCTTTCCTTTTTACCAAACTTTGACATTGAGAGCCACAATTCCTACCAGCCGTGGGCAAAGAAGAACCATAGAACAAAAACACCCAGGTCGGGGAGGTGTTTCTATAACAAGTATATGAGGAGAAGCTGAGGAGCTTGGTAGGGTTTTATTTCTTGGGCAAAGTGGTGGTTACACTGTTCTATTTTTCCCTTTGTGAAAATTTATCAAGTTATACACTTTGCTGCATTTATGTAATCTTTCAAAAATATTTAAATGTTCAATATTTTTATTGCATTTTAAAAAAATGAATATGCTTTTTGACTCAGCAATCCTGACTCTGGAAATATGTATATGTCAAGGAACATTAATTCAAAAGAACATAAGCACCCCTATGTCCATTTCAGTGTTATTTACAATCACCAAGATATGGAAGCAGCCTGAGTGTCCATCAACAGATGAGTGCATAAAACAACTATGGGACATTTACACAATGGAAACTACTCAGCCATAAAAAAGAAGGAAATTTCACCCTTTGTGACAGTGTGGATGGACCTGGAGAATATTGTGCTAAGTGAAATAAGCCAGTCAGAGAAAGACAAATACCCTATGATTTCACTCATATGTGCAATCTAATGAACAAACTGAACTAACAAGCAAAACAGAAACAGGCTCATGATGGACAGCAGGGTGTCAGCTAGTTGGGTGGGGAGGTTAGGGGGTGGAATGATTGAAAAAAAGAAAAAGGACTTATGGACGTGGACAACAGTGTGGTGATTGCAGGGGGGTGGGAGGGGGGTGTAAGGGGAATCTGTGGTAATGGGAAAAAAGACAACAAAAAAAGCCTGAAAAATAAAATAAAATAATTGATTTAGTCTAAAGTTTTAAAATGGAGATACAATATTAAATATTGACATTTGCCTTTTTACCATTATAATGAACCGGACTAAATAATTTTAAAAAATAACAAAATAATAACACCAGGAAGCCACTACATGTGTTAATTTAAGAGGGAAATGCTAAATCTTGTTAAAAACAGCAAGTGCTGAGGTTTGACTCTAGTAGGTGTTAACTAATAGATGCACACACTTCTGACAGGAAAAGTCTCACTGTCACATCACTAACATTGAACTAGCTTGAACTGCTGCTGCTCCACTTGTTAGATAAGACAAGGTCTCAAGTTCAGGGCAGTTCTAACCAAATGCTATTTTTGCTAAATGTTAAAATGTAGAACAGTATTTTGAAGACACAGGTGTAAAGAAGAGGATCGTGACAGAAACCCAACCCAATATGTGTAGCCAAATTCAAATAAGAAATCAACAGGTAATTGACCAAATAGTGTATATAAGCAATGGTTAAGCCTCCCTTTGAAGAGACAGAACTTTGATGTGAATGCCCTGTCTCCTTTACTTGCTGCAAGTAAATAAAACTACCTAATGACAACATCTTATTCCTGAATAGAGTGCCCCAAGCTGTGAATCTCTTGAGTTCAATAGTAAATTCAACAACTGAAAGGCAATGTCCTAAAAGGGACTCCCTCTTGGCCTGGTGTGGACATATAGTGAAGCAGCTGACAGCGGCAGCTCATTGGGGGCTTACTTACCTGTGTCTCCACTGGAGAGGACCTGTTCTATAGGAAACTCCCCACTTGGTGTTAACCACCAGCATGGTTACCTGGCCTGCCTGGAGAGTGAAGCTAAGTGGCCACCTGAACCTGTTTCATTCAGTACTTAGGAAGAGAGGCAGGTAGGTGAGCCTCAGTGGTTGCTTTTATTTGTATTTCTATTCCTGTTTTGGGTTTAGGGTTGTCAGAAGGATAATTTCATTTTTGCTTTTTCATTTGTGTATGCTTGGTTTCAGGTTCATCAGGCAGAAGCTGTCCCTAGGATGCCAGATTCAGGGCCCAACCTGGGTCTAAGGGTGGAGGGTTGAGGAATACCTGTGGGGCAATTCAAGACATTCTCTGGTGATGATCTCTGGTCTGGTTGTCTGGCTGTCAGGGAAACCTGAGTCACTGATAGTGTTTCAGGATAGAGATTATGGAATCACAGTGCTCACTCACTACCATTCAGTTTCTGACCTACAGGAATTAGATTTTGTTCTTTGTGGTCCTTGTTTGTCTTTTATCGAAGTGTGCTATGAGAAACTCAAACTGATCCCTGAATGCAGCCCCTTGGGGTGCATTCTTCAGAATTGAATAAAAAGAGCTCTGTTTATTTGACTTAAAGAGATTAAATGCTTACAAATGGGTCAATGGTAGCAAACTGCCAGTCCTGCCTGTGGCAGCCTTACTCCAAGCTCAGGAGTCATGGATTTGGGAGGCATTATCTTTAGTATTTCCCATGAGATCATTTAAAATCACATTTGTTACTTTACCACGATAGCTTCTCTCTCTTTTTTTTAAATTTTATTTAGTTATTTTTCAAGTACAGTTTGTCTATTTTTCCCATCCCAGCGATAGCTTCTCTCTTGAAACCCCTGTCCTGTTTCCATCCAAGGAGTGCACCTTCTAGAGCACCTGAAGCCAGGGTGATAGTCATGAGGGAAATGGAAATGGCACCCGAGCCTTGCCAGTACCCTGAACAAGGTTCTCATCAGACAGGCCATGTCACCTTCACTGAAGAGGACAAGAAAATGACTCCTGGTTTTCAGTGCAGATAATCTGGGATAGAAGGGATTATCTCTTACAAGCAAGACTGAATGGCAAAGGTTTGACTGTGGCACCTGGGGTCCAGCTTATGGCTAATGGTGTAAAGATATATGTGCCTGGGTTTATATGGTAAAAATTAATGGTTTTATCTACAAGCCAAAAAATAAAGCATGATTTGTAGGCTATTGGAATAAGAACCCCATTGCTTCCCTTCCTTTGAAGGATAAGAGGAAAAATTATGTGCCACATGTCTTCAAAAGGTCTTAAGAGATATTCTATTAGCAGGTGTGATTTCAGAAATTTTACCAAAGGTGTGGTAACAGAGGCCAAATACCCTAAGAGTATTGAAAAGTAAATACAGCTAAGATTGCCCCCACTCAGCCTGGGCACAGGCCCCTATGGCTTTGGGAGTCTGCTGACTGGCAGTGGAATGGGCTGACGTAGGCACTTGCCCTGCCGTGGAAGAATCAAGGTGGAGCATCCCAGTGTTTTGTCACAGCCAGAGACAGTCATAAAAGAATAAGAACAGAATACCGCACTGCTGAGTATGAGTATGAGCTGGAAGGGAGACAGGTGCAGGGAGGCCACATTACCCAGAGCCTTCTTTATTGTGACTGGGTCTGAATTGTGGCATGTGAACCAAGCTGTTACACCAGACATCTTGGGCCTGTCCTGTGCTTCTCACAGTCCCACCTGCTTATGACATGGGGTACAAACCTTAAGGAGGCTTTGTCACACCATTTTCTCTAGGAGTCCAGAAGTTAGGAGCCTGGACCTATAACTGTAATAGGAGGTGACTCTGCCAGTGTGGATGACTCAGCTGGAGAGAAGAAATGAGGCCAGGCAATGCCTCATGTGAACAGTCATTGTGGCATCAATGATTGTTCTTACTCTTACTCTTTTCCTCCTGTTTCATTCTGGTTTGAACAACATGTACCTGCAGCTGTTTTCTGTACCTTCTTGAACTCAGAATTGGAGCTTCACTTTCAGACTTGAGCTCCTAATATTTCCAGACTGGGGTTGGAGGAGTCACGGTCCATGAAAGATGGAAACCGTGGGTTGCATAGACCTTAAGTGATCTGCTCATTTGAAGGCTTATCCCAGCACCTACTGGGAAATAGATTTGGGGGGGAAAGGTAGCAAGTGAGTGGTGGTTTCCCCTTGTATTCTGATTTTCAGAGGGGCTTTAGTCTCTAAGCTGGAGCTGTGTCACTGGGTCTCTAGGGGATGGTGTCTAACAGGATGTCTGATCATAGAGGGCCTTGTGCTGCATGGGCCTGAAGTATAGCCCCATGTGCTTGGCCTTACTTACCCTCCTCCTGTGTGTGTGTGTGTGTGTGTGTGTGTGTGTGTGTGTGTGTACACAGAGTTTGTATTCCCTGGTGCACTGTCCCAAGAGACTGGATGCAGAGGTCCTTGCCAGAACTTCCTCCTGAGTTGTCCTCCCTCTTCAAACTAAAGTGCCTTACAAGGTACACCTCTTCACTTGGCTGCATGTTCAGCATCAGTGCTTGAGAAACCATGGGATATCAACTGGATGGTGTACAGAATTATCACATCTGCTGTTGGGAACTGCCCTGCCTGGTTTCAGAAGCTGTAATCCCCTGTGGCTAAGGCTGACTAAAGGACCTTGGGAGCAGAAGTCACTTAGGAGACAAAGCTTATCTTCCTTGTAGGGGCACCACCTTTGCTCCCTTTCTCTTGGCCCCAGGTGGATGACTGGTTAGCCAATGACCAGTAAAATACCTCAAGGGAAGAATGACCTAAGACAGGCACAGTTGCTAAGGGGCCCTCAGGGAAGGACTTGGGGAGCTATAGAAAAAGGGGGTGATGGACCCTTGCCCCTCAGCTTTGACACAATCTGAGTCCTCACTCTGTCTTCAAGAAGTCTCCTAATCTCTTAGCTGCTTTACTTCCCCTGCCTGACTTAAGCCTGAAACAATGCTGGAGGTTGGTGCAGCCTTGTGCTGGAAAGGGTGGGTTTCCTAGGGCAAGCAGGCCTAAGAAAGAATGCATAAAATCCAAGTAGGAAGTGAGTTTGTTCCCCAAAGTTTTATGGCCCTTTAACTATCTGACCCTGAATCAGAATAAGCCCTCAGAGTTCTTTGAATGTTATCTATTGTTTAATTATTTCTGCCTGTCAGTGACTGATGAGCTTTATGTATACACCCTGTATTCCTGTGCAAATTGAACCCAATAAAAGCCTGTCAAGGAAAGGGTCAAGGTGCTCTCCTCCTGAGACAGTGGCCAAGGTGCTCTGAGGCTTTTTCTCCTCTTGAGAGAGAAGCTGCACTGTCCTCTTTTCCTCTTCTTTTTCTCCACGGGACTCAGTAGTCCATGTGAATTTGTCTTATCTCATCCATAATGCCGTGGACCCCAGGAACCAAGATCCACGTCAATCTGCTATCCCTTCCCCCTGAGATTGCTGTGCTTCATCTTCTAAGCTCTCCCTTTCTGCACAGTCACTTCCTGCCCAGGTCCTACCTGTCCTTTAAAGTCCTGGATAGACTTCAATAAGTGATTACTGTTCTTTAAAGTCCAGAATAGCAGCTCAATAAGTGATTCCTAAATAAAAACCTTGGGTCATTGAGGAAGAAGATTCAGATATGACAGCACCTTCCCATTTCTCTCTCTTGTTGGCACTGGCATCAAATCTGAGAGGCTTAGAACTCTTTGTCCTTAGGGAAGCTGGCATTCTGGTCCAACTTGCTCATTAGATCCTCACCACTGAATTATGAGTGACTTTCAGTTTCCCTTCTTTTGCCTTACCTCTCCCCTCTCTCCTATTAGAGTACTGCTTTCTTTTTTAAAAAAATATTTAAGTTTATTTAATTTTAAATTTTTTTATTGATTCCAGAGAAAGAGAGGGAGAGGTAAGGGAGAGAAACATCGATTTGTCACATTCCACACAACAATGCACTCACAGGTTGACTCCTGCATGTCCCTTAAGCAGGGATCAAAACTACATCCCTGTGTATCAGGACATCGCTCCAACCAACTGACCTACTCAGCCAGGG